AGTGAACCCACCTGTGCCCAGCAGTGCCACCCATCAGTGCCCAGTAGTGCCGCCAGACAGTGCCTAGCAGTGCCGCCAGTCAGTGCAGTCAGTCAGTGCCCAGCAGTGCAGTCAGTGCCACCCATCAGTTCCACCTATCAGTGCCCATAGGTGACGCCTATCAGTGCCCATCATTGTTGCATATCAGTGCTGCCTATCAGTGCCTATCAGTGCTGCCTACAGTATCAGTACCCATCACTGTTGCATATCAGTGCCACCTATCAGTACCACCTCATCAGTGCCCATCAGTGCTGCCTATCAGTGCCCATCAGTGCTGCCTATCAGTACCCATCAGGGCTGCCTATCAGTGCAGCCTCATCAACGCACATCAGTGAAGGAGAAAAATTACCTGTTTGCAAAATTTTATAATAGAAACAAAGAAAAACTTTTTTTTTTTTGCTCTTTTTTTGTTTATAGTGCAAAAAATAAAACACCCAGCGGTGAATACATACCATCAAAAGAAAGCTCTATTTGTGTGAAAAAAATTGCAAAAATGTAATATGGGTGCAGTGTTGCACGACTGCACAAATGTCATTCAAAGTGCGACAGCACCGAAAGCTGAAAATTGGCCTGGGCAGGAAGGGGGTATAAGTGCCCAGTAGGGAAGTGGATAATGACGCATGGAGGAGGTTTATTTAGGGCCTCTATAAACTAGATGACCTTGAGCCTCATATGATCCCAAACTAGCCGCCTCAAGAGAAATCGAGGCACCATCCACAAGAGTGGTCATCCAGAGATGTGCAAAAACGAGTTGGCCAAGAAGAAAATATTTATAAAAGTTGGGCACCGCTAATCCCCTCTCCCACCACGGCTGTTGTAGTATAGCCAATTTGAGGTGAGGGGTCCCTTCATGCCATAAAAATAAAGACAACAGGTCATCAATTGATTTAAAGATTGATTTGGGAATCCACACCTTAGAAGTTCTAAATACATAGAAAAGAGAGGCATAATTTTCATTTTAATCAAATTGATTTTTCCGTGCAGTGATAATGAAAGTTTCTTCCAGGCAGTCAATTTGTTTTTAAGGAGAGTATGGAGAGGGAGAGTATGGAGAGGAGACACATTCAAGGAAATATAGTCTGTCACTGAACTTGTAATCACCATACCCAAATACCTTATCCTGGACACCCATTAAAGAGGAATAGTGGGGTCTAGTGGCCCAGACACTAAGTGAGAGCGTAAGGGTAGAATTTTAGATTTAGTCCAATTTACTTTGAAAAGCTGTTTAGGATAGACAATGCTGTCAGTAATGAAGGGCCAGTATCTCTAAGAAAAAGGACTAGGGCCGTTGTTTCTGTGAGGTTGCCTAATGTAATCCCATGTAACTGAGAAGATGAGCACAATGCTATTGCTAGTGGCTCCATCAGGAGAGTAAACAACCCCAGAGAAAGGGGGCAACCTTACCTGGTGCTCATGAATACAGGAAAAGTGGCAGACACCTGACAATTAATTCGGAGGGCAGCCACAGGATGTTCATACAGCAATGAGATCCATTTAAGGAACATCGGGTCAAAGCCCATGCGTTGTAAACCATGTCTCATATAAATCCAGTCTATGGAGTCAAACTTCTTCTCCAGATCAAGAAACACCAGGGCTCCCCTAGTAGATAACTCAGAGCTTAGTTGGGTATGCGTGTATACTCTATAAGTGTTGATATCCATAGTCTTCTGGGGCATAAAGCTAGTCTGGTCTGAAGAAAATAAATAATCTAACACCTTAGTTAGCCTAGTGGAAATCCTTTTGGTGAGTATTTTGAGATCCATATTAACCACTTGACGACCACCTCCTGTAGTTTACTGCACACCCTGCACAAAATCACATATATAAATGTGTTCACGGGCCAGGGGCCCGTGTGCCTGCCGGCCCAGCGGTGTTTTGATTTGATACAGCACTGATCACTCACCAGATCCAGGCCAATGATGTGAGTATGAATCTGCTGATCAGTTGTACCAAATCAGAGGTCTTCCTGTGCCTGAGTTTACATTACACAATCAATACACTACACTGAGACAGTAAAAGCACAGCTAGGTCACATTTAACCCTCTGATCCCCCCCCAGTTAACCCTTTCACTGCCCTGTCACCAGTGTCATTAGTAGTGTACAGATTTTTTTACTGATTACTGTATTAGTGCCACAGGCGACTTCAGATTGTGTTAGTGTCAGTTAGCATCCCTTCCAGATAGCATCAGATTGCCCGCCACTACATTACCATCACATTTAACCCTTGATTGCCAGGAACATGCCCACATACACACTATAAACCTTCATTGCTAGTATAGTGTCTGAACGAATCAATATCTTTGATCCGATCAGAACTATACTACTGTTCACAATAATATAGTGTCCCCAAAAATACAGTGTTAGCAGGATCAACCCCAACACCTACAGTATCAGTAGTATGACTGTCACTTGATACATTGCACACAAAACTGTAGGGTTAGCAAGATCAGGCATGATCTCTGCTAGCACTAGCAGGTACATTTTTCTGTAGCGCTTCAAGCAGTCCCTGACAGCCAGGTGCCTTTTTTCCTGTGAGTCGCACTAGGTACCTATTAATTTAGTTGGCAAAATGTCCAACAAAAGGTACACAAGTGAAGAGACCTACAGATTTTGAGTATGTCAAATGAGAGCGAAGGGGAAGCCTCACTGACGGAATCAGGCTCAGAATACAAACATTGTAGAGAGCAGCAGCACCCTGACAGATAGCCCAGATGATGGAGTAGAAGTCCCTGCTAAGGTCAGGCATATCCAACCCCTTTCTCAGGTTGCTGAGGTGTTAGAATTGCATGATGATTTTCATATGTAGCAGAGTGCCAGTACTAGTGCCTCACTACCTTTTGGTGAACTGGTGAGCACCAGTGGCCTAGTACATTCTGGTCTTTTACATACCAGCATTGCAGTATAATTTGGTGATGTGGCAAACTCCATAAGTGCAGTACAAGCTGGCTAGCACAAGTAGTGTCCCGCAGCCACCAAGAATTTGAATACAAGCCTGTAAAGCCCATAGTGTCCTTCCAGATGTGCTTGCCAATCCTGCTTGGCAGCCCACAAATTCTGCAGCACTCCTACTTCCCCTATTCAGATGGAAACAGCAAATTATATGCATGGCAATATATCACCGCCAACCCAAATTCAAACCTTGCCAGACCATGTGCATGGAAACCTATTACGGTTTCTGAATGTAATGCTTTTTTGGGCCTAACTCTCAACATGGGCATTACTAAAAAGAATAAGTTGCAGTCATATTGGTCCCAGACATACAGTGAAGGAAATAAGTATTTGATCCCCTGCTGATTTTAAATGTTTGCCCACTCAAAAAAAATGATCAGTCTAAAAATCGAATGGTAGGTATTGTAACACTGAGAGAATAGCAACAAAAAATTCAAAAGAAATGCATGTTTAACAAATTATGCACTGATTTGCATGTTTATGAGGGAAATAAGTATTTGATCCCCTATCATTCAGCAGGATTTCTGGCTACCAGGTGTCTTTCATACAGGTAACAAGCTGAGATTAGAATCAGTCTCTTAAAAGGAGTGCTGCTAATCTTATTTTTTTACCTATAATAAAGACACCTGTCCACAGGAGCAATCAAACAATCAGATTCCAAACTCTCCACCATGGCAAAGACCAAAGAGCTGTCCAAGGATGTCAGGGACAAGATTGTAGACCTACACAAGGCTGGACTGGGCTACCAAACTTTTGCCAAGCAGCTTGGTGAGAAGGAGACAACAGTTGGTGCAATCATTCGCAAATGGAAGAAACACAAAAACAACTGTCAGTCTCCCTAGGTCTGGTGCACCATGCAAGATCTCACCTCGTGGAGTGTCAATGATAAGGAGAACAGTGAGGAATCATCCCAGAACTACACGTGAGGATCTTGTCAATGATCTCCAGTCACCAAGAAAACAATTGGTAACACACTACGCCAACAAGGATTGAAATCCTGCAGCACCCGCAAGGTCCCTCTGCTCAAGAAAGCACTTGTCCAGGCCCATCTGAAGCTTGCCGCTGAACATCTGAACGATGCAGAGGAGGACTGGTTGAAAGTTTTGTGGTCAGATGAGACCAAAATCGAGCTCTTTGTCATCAACTCAACGCCGTGTTTGGAGGAGGAAGAATGCTGCCAATGACCCCAAGAACACCATCCCAACTGTCAAACATGGTGGTGGAAACATTCTGCTTTGGGGGTTTTTTTCTGCTAAGGGGACAGGACAACTGCACTGCATCAAAGGGACGATGGACGGGGCAATGTACCATCCAATCTTGGGTGAGAACCCCAAAACACACGGCAAAGTCTTCCCTCAGCCAGGGCATTGACCATCCAATTTGGAACCTCGTGGATGGGTGTTCCAGCATGACAATGACCCAAAACACACGGCAAAGGTAACAAAGGAGTGGCTTAAGAAGAAGCACATTAAGATCCTGGAGTTGCGCAGCCAGTCTCCAGACCTTAATCCGATTGAAAATCTGTGGAGGGAGCTGAAAGTTCGAATTGCCAAACGTCAGCCACCAAACCTTAACGACTTGGAGAGGATCTGCCAAGAGGAGTGGGCCAAAATCCCTCCTGAGATGTGTGCAAACCTGGTGGCCAACTACAGGAAACGTCTGACCTCTGTGATTGCCAACAAGGGATTTGTACTAAGTACTAAGTCATAATTTGTGAAGGGGATCAAATACTTATTTCCGTCATAAACATGCAAATCAGTGCACAATTTGTTAGACATGCATTTCTTTTGAATTTTTTATTGCTGTTCTGTCTTTCAGTGTTACAATACACCTACCATTTGATTTTTAGACTGATCATTTCTTTGTGAGTGGGCAAACATTCAAAATCAGCAGGGGATCATATACTTATTTCCTTCACTGTATTATCTGCTGCCATGGACAGGCATAGATATGAGAATATCATACGATTTATGCAATTTTAACAATACACTTGGAGTGATCCAGAATATGATCCACAAAATTTGGCCTCTCATAAATCACCTTAACCAGAAATTTGCAGATGTGTACATGCCCCAGCAAAACATCTGTGTTGCTGAGTCCCTCATTATTTTTTCTGGCCACCTTGAATTCAAACATTTTTTCCCCAGCAAGCTTGCCAGATATGGGGTCAAAATGTATAAGACCTGTGAAAGGGAAACAGGCTATACATGTAATTTTCGGATTTACGAGAGAAAAGATAGTCATGTGGAGCCCCCTGGATGCCCAGACTACATGGGGAGCAGTGGCAAGATAGTTTGGGGCTTGGTGTCACCCTTTTCTATATGGGATACCACTTATATGTAGACAATTTTTATACCAGTGTGCCACTATTTAGACATTTATACAATCTTAGAGTGGCTCATGTGTCACCTAATTGCCGGGACTTCCCAAAATAGCTTGAAAATACCCAACTTAGAAAGGGGGAGAAAGCCTGCTTGAAAAATGATGAATTGCTGTCAGTGAAGTGGAAGGAAAAATGGGATGTTTTCATCTTGTCTTCCATTCACACAGACACGATGGTCCAAATTTCCACGGCAGCTGGTGTTGTTGAAAAGCCCCTCTGTGTCCATGACTATAACCCTAACATGGGAGGAGTGGCCTTCAACGATCAAATGATGACAACGTACTTAGTTTTCTGTAAACTCAGACACTGGTACAAAAAGTGTCTGTAAATTTATTTCAATTGTCTCTGTACAACGCTTTTGGGCTTTACAAAGCAAGTGGACAAAGTGGATCCTTTCTCAAATTTCAGGAAGAGATCATCATGGCCCTTTTGTATCCCGAAGGTGCTGTAGCCCAAACTTCCAGCCCAGATGCAGTGAGCCAGCTGCATGAGAGGCATTTTCCTGATGCCATTCCTAGGTACCCCAACCCAAAAGTCACCCCCATAAAAATGTGTATGAACAAACAGCATCATGAAGGCCAAAAAAAACACATCGGACAGGTCAGGGATAAAGTTGTGGAGAAGTTTAAAGCAGGGTTAGGTGATAAAAAAATATCCCAAACTTTGGACATCTCAAGGAGCACAGTTCAATCCATCATCAAAAAATGGAGAGAGTATGACACAACTGAAAACCTACCAAAACATGGTTGTCCACCTAACTGACAGGCCAGGCAAGGAGAGCATTAATAAGAAAAGCAGCAAAGAGGCCCATGGTAATTCTGGAGGGGCTGTAGAAATCCACAGCTCAGGTGGGAGAATCTGTCCACAGGACAACTATTAGTCGTGCACTCCACAAATCTGGCCTTTATGTAGGAGTGGCAAGAAGAAAACCATTGTTGAAAGAAAGCCATAAGAAGTCTCATTTGCAGTTTGCGAGAAGCCTTGAGAGGGATACAGTAAATATGTGGAAGAAGGTGCTCTGGTCAGATGAGACCAAAATTTAACTTTTTGGCCTAAAAGCAAAACACTATGTGTGGCGGAAAACTAACACTGCACATCACCCTGAATACACTATCCCCACTGTGAAACATGGTGGTGGCACCATCATTTTGTGGGGATGCTTTTCTTCAGCAGGGGCAGGGAAGCTGGTAAGAGTTGATTGGAAAATGGATGGAGCCAAATACAGGGCAATCTTAGAAGAAAACCTGTTAGAGTCTGCAAAAGACTTGAGACTGGGGTGGAGGTTCACCTTCTAGCAGGACAATGCCCCTAAACATACAGCCAGAGCTACAATGGAATGGTTTAGATCAAAGCATATTCATGTGTTAGAATGGCCTAATCAAAGACCTAAATCCAACTGAGAATCTGTAGCAAGACTTGAAAATTGCTGTTCACAGATGTTCTCCATCCAATCTGAGAGAGTTTGAGCTAGTTTGCGTAGAAGAATGTGCAAACATTTTACTCTCTAGATGTGGAAAGCTGGTAGAGACATACCCAAAAAGACTTGCAGCTGTAATTGCAGTGAAAGGTGGTTCTACAGTAGGGGGCTGAATACAAATGCATGCCACACTTTTCAGATTTTTATTTGTAAAAAAATGTTTAAAACCATTTATCATTTTCCTTCCACTTCACAATTATGTGCCACTTTGTGTTGGTTTATCACATAAAATCCCAGTATAATACATGTATGCTTTTGATTGTAACATGACAAAATGTGGAAAATTTTAAGGGGTATGAATATTTTTCAAAGGCACTGTATATGCCCAAGCATGGGGGCCTGGGGTGGACAGTGAGTGGATTGCTCCTATGCTTCGGCATATATATATATTTATTTTTTTTTGGGGGGGGCAGAGATTTCTTCATCCACATCGATAAATGTGAATGAATGAATATGGGCTGAACGGAAAAAAAAAAGAACATTTCATGTATGCCCCACATTAGAAGTGGGGGGATGCAGGGCAGTATATTCTAATGGTGGGCAAACCACACACTTTCTGGCAGATATTTCTTCTCTTTTTTCATTTAGCCCACAGGCTGCATAAAAGAAAAGAACATATATGCCCAACAAGGAACAGTGATGCACTGGTACATCACTGGACTTTGAGTGGTTATACCAGGATGATGCCTGCAGCTACAGTCATCATACATTCTGCTACTTCTCCTGAGTATGGGGATACAACTTGTGTAAGAATTTTGGCAGTCTAGCTGTGTACAGGACACCAAAATCCAATAAGCACCCTCATTACACTTCCTGACTACCTATCACAGTTTTGGAGGCCCTGAAATACCAGAATAGTCCTTTTGGAAAGTAGACACTCAAAGGTATTTGCTAAGACGCATGGTGAGTATTTTGCAGATTTCATTTGTTGCCACAAGTTTTTGGAAAATTAAGAAAGAAAATTCAAAACCTCGTGACAAAAATGAGATCTGCAAAATACTCACCATTCCTCTTAATTTTTATTTTGGGGGGGAGGGGGGGTTGTGCTATCCTGTCATTTCAGCAAATAGCTTGGAGCATTAGACTATCAGAATTTCCAAATTATAACATGAATGAATGAATTTGGAATTAATTACTTTTACTTTCCATTCATACTTCTGGATCCATTTTGTTTTTATTTTGCATTAACATTTTTCATTATTGTAGAAAAAATCAGCTCATTCCATTTCTCTTTGTGGGTTGGACTAGCAGGGATGAATCAAAATGCATAAGTAATCTCCCGAAAAAATGAATGTAGCGCCTTTTAGTGGTGCTAGAGTTAGGAGAATTTAGTGGCTTACAGTAGTAAAGTGAGCATGTCTGTTTGGGTTACTTTAAGACAGGCTGGAGGGTACTACAAGTCAGGCCTCTGGCACCTCCTCCTGGTTCTGAAGTCTTTCAGAAGATTCTAAAAGCTAGTGGGCGAAGGGGTGGAGACCAAGATCTGCTTATGCATGGAAATTTGACCAAGCCCAGGCAGGAAGTCTGGCAGTGTGGCAGATGGGAGCATAAATATGAGAGAGCCTAGCCAGCAGGGGAGTCTAGTGATCAGGTGGAAGATGGAGTATTGAGTATTTTGAGGCTGGGAGGGGACCCCGGGGGAAGGGGGGGGGGGCTCTGCCTTCAGGCTGGAGCTGAGAAGGAAGGAAGAAGTTAGACAGAGGGAACTGTACTACAAATTCTATCTAGAAGGAACCCTGCTCAGAATGGAAGACTAACACAGCTAAATGGCCTGAAAAAGCAGTCTTGTCCAAAGCGACAGGATACAAAGTGGGGCAGAGTGAGTACCTCTACACCCCCATGGTCTATAAGGGAGATAGCTTCCAGATGCAATATCTAGAATGTTTTCACGGGGAGAATGTCACAGCTAACCTAATCCCTTGCTCTGGGACACTTATCCAAATCAGCCATGTGGGCTGGCATTTTCTCACCAAGTATTGGAACTTCGTGAGAGCTCACACAAGGGACTCAGGGCTCTGTAAAGTAACTTTGCTATCGATCCTTAACCACTTGCCAACTGTTGTAGCCGAACGACGGCTACAGCGCGGTTGTCCAGTTCTGAAAGGGTGTCATATGACGTCCTCTCAGAATGCACCCTCCTACGCGTCCCCAGCGCTGTGCACCCAGCGATCTCCATGATCGCTGTGTCCTACGGACACAGCTAATCACGTGATGAGGTAAAAGGCCAATCACATAAGCCTTTTACCACGTGATCAGTGTAGCAACTGTGCACACAGAGATGGACGCAGTCATCCATCTTGCTAAAGACCCTTCATCTTGTATCTCTCTCTCCCTCCTCCAATCCCCCCTCCCTCTCTGTTGAGTGACATGTGGTCTGTATGATGCTGGGAGATCACAGGCATCAGGCCCCAGCTGGAGAGCTTCATGGTTATAAATGCCAATTAGCCTGGCCCCAGTCTGTCTGTGAGACTCTTGCTTGGAAAGGATCGTAAAGCCATAAACCAGTCTTTCACTGGGCTTCAAAGACATTCCAGCTAGCCGTAAAACAGACTCACATTTAAAAACCCACTTTTCCATATAATTATATATCTTAAGGTAGGAAATGATTACATAAACATAAAGCATATATTCGGATAGCTCAGTTTAATACAAGTCGCCTGATATCTTACACCCCCTAGTCGAAGTCTACAGGAGAGCAGAAAGCATATAGATCCAGCTGAAATAGTGAACTATGCCATGTTTGATATCTAGACGTTCAGCAGATGATTCTGCATATTAATCTACCCGTGGATAGAAAGTTACATGTACCTAGGGAAGGTTATTGCCCTGGTATAACTTGTGAGGTATAACTTGTGAGGGATTTTGGTTCTAGCCTGAGTACCCGCCTACAACACCCTCCCCAAATGAGGCAATTGGTTCTCTGCTTCAAGGAGACACCCTGCAGAGTTCCTAGAAAAAGGCTGTTATGCTTGGAGCAGAGAGTTAGAGTTAAGTTGATTTGAAGAATTCTCCCTTTTTAACATCGGAACCAACTTGGGAGAAAAGGCACCCTTTTGCTCTTAAACTTGATCTGCTTAAACCAAGGCTGACGGCAAGTATCTACCTCTCTAAACCTCCTTCTTTTATCTCTTTGCTGTGTTATTGCTCTCTGTATTTATATATATATATATATATATATATATATATATATATATATATATATATATATAGGCTACATCTTTTTCTGCAAATATTGTTATTTCACCCTTTTGACCTTTTTAGTAATAAATCCTATTATCTGAAAAGTGTTGAACTGTTTCTAAAGCTCTTTAATGCAAACTAAGAATCCCTGTCTCTGAAAAGCGCTACTGTGTGTTTTTAAAACCTCTATATATCTCTACCTGCGATGACAGTGGTATACAGACGATTAGTCAAACATCATAGTGTTATTGCTAATATTGGCATGTTTCCTCCTACTCTGTACAAAAAGGTGGTGGTGGCAGTGTGAAGGGTTAATTGCGTAATTAACCTGACCCAGTAACAATCGCCCTCAGGCTGCGGCACATAGGTTGTGGTCCATTAGCTTGGATATCTCTGTGCAGGGTGCAGCTTAGTGTTGCAATGTTACGCATGTGACAGCGCGGTTTTAGATTGGCTAGTCCTTTAGTCACAAGTTGGTGAGAAGGGCTGGGGGTCTGACGCACAACCGTCACAATCAGCTATGTCCAAAGACACAGCAGATCACCGAGTAAATACAGTTGCTGGTTATCGGCTGCACTTTCCTCACACTGTCACAGCGTGAGGAAAGTACTGCCGATAACCATCAATTGTCACAGAGCAGATAGGCACTGATCATCTGGGCACTGATGATCAGTGCCTCAAAGCAGTGCCACCCACCAGTGCCTCCCACCAATGCCCAGCAGTGCCACCCACCAGTGCTGCCCAGCAGTGCTACCCAGCAGTTGCGCCCATCAGTGCCCAGCAGTGCTACTCATCAGTGCTGCCCAGCAGTGCTACCCAGCAGTTGCGCCCATCAGTGCCCATCAGTGCCACTCATCAGTGCTGCCCAGCAGTGCCACCAGACAGCACCGCCTATCAGTGCAACCTATCAGTGCCCATCATTGCTGCATATCAGTGCAGCATCATCAGTGCCTCCTCATCAATGCCCATCAGTGCTGCCTCATCAGTGCATCCTATCAGTGCCCATCAGTGTTGGCTATCCATGCCACCTCATCAGTGCCCACCAGTGCTGCCTATCAGTGCAGCCTCATCAACGCACATCAGTGAAGGAGAAAAATTGTCTGTTTGCAAAACTTTACAATAGAAACAAAGGAAAACTTTTTTTTTCAAATTTGTAGCTCTTTTTTTGTTTATAATGAAAAAAATAAAAACACCCAGTGGCGATTAAATATCACCAAAAGAAAGCTGTGTGAAAAAAAATTATAAAAATTCAAAGTGTGAGAGCGTTAAAAGCTGAAAATTGGCCTGGGCACGAAGTGGGTAAAAGTGCCCAGTAGGCAAGTGAATAAAGGGACTGACACCACTTCGACTGAAGTCATATCCAGGATCCGTATTTTTGTACATAAACGCAAAAAAGTTTGTTCTCATCTGTTCTTTCTAGTCAAGTTGGCCATCCCATAACCCTTAATCCCTATCCAAGTTGTTTTCCCTTAAAACATCAAAAACAAGTCCATGGACTGGATCCTAGACTATGTGTGTTTGCTGAAAATACGTATTGTCTGGCTATGCAGAAAATAGGGGGACCCAAAATTCAGAGGCTTCTTAGGGGGTAGCGCTACATGAATTAACATGTTAAAATGAATATAGCCAAATTTCCGAAATATATTAAACGAATCTGAATGTACGAAACGAATTTTGAAAACCAATCATTCTAACATAACAATTATGACAATGTGTAATGATTAACGTAACAAATAAATCAAAAATTAAACGAAACAAATTTTTTCTGTTGTGCACATCTCTATTATGCATGTCCTGCTGGCTATGTTCCTGGGAGACACCAGTCCCACCCATCTCTTGCAGACAATTGCACTCCTGCAACCACAGGAACTCTTTTGTTCACCCTTTTTTGTTCAGCCTCCTGTACTTTCTAGCCAGTGAACATGACATTCCTGGGGGCAGCCATGCGCCAGCAGCCTAGACTTGCTTGGATTATAGAAACACGGACAGGTATAGGTGAAGCTACATTAAGCAATATTCCCTGACCACTTGTGCAGAGGTGAGTATTGCTACATTATAGATCTTTAATCAGCTGTGCGTATTGCCCTGTATCCAACAATGCATGTACATGCACAGCAATGCAATGCCAGTCTATTGAGAATGAAAAGACTTTATTATTTTGTCCATTACAAGGACCCATACAGCAGCCATCTTAGAGGGGACGTAGAGAGTGTGCATTGGAAAGCTGGCTAATGAGGTCTCTCAATAACAAGTTATATAGAAATAGATGAGTGAAATCATCTATGGAACCAATAATGCAATCTGCTGCAGGCAAAAAAGTTCCTGACCCTTTGCAAATTAATGCACTGGTTGAAAACGCACAGGTGTGAACGTGACTCATAGGAAAACGATTTGTGCAATAGAGACATGGTAGCTGCACGCGACAGCCATCTTGTTAAGGTCTCAGCCATTTTGATTTTCATGAACAATCATCTTTCCTCCCTCCTCTTGAAATGGAATTTGTAGCTGGAAGTTGAAACGAACTTCAAAAGAGCCTCTTATTGTAAATAAAACACAAATAGAGGGAGCTCCAGAGCTGTAAACCGCTAATTAGTTTTGGCAGGATGTTTATTTTGCAAAGACACTTTCCTCTGCCCTACTGTAAAACAATAACTCAGTCCAGCCGTCACAAAGGACCTGTTAGGCCATTAGAGCTCTAGAAATGCAGAGCGTGCCATAAAACGTCTATTTCACATGGTACCATTTCACATACAGTTCATAACATTCAACATGAACTGGGCTCATTAACCAGTTGCCGACCGCAGATAGCCGAATGACGGCTAAACTGCGGCCGGCCAGTTCTGAGTGGACGTCATATGACGTCCCCCCAGAACGCGCTCTCCTGCGCGCCCCAGGGGGCGCGCACCCGGCGATCTCCGTGATCGCTGTGTCCTACGGACACAGCTGATCACGAGATGTGGTAAATGGCCGATCATACCGGCCTTTTACCACGTGATCAGCGGTGTCCAATGACACGCTGATCACAGGGAAATGCAAGTGCCGGTTCTCGGCTGCACTTTCCTCACGCTGTCAGATCGTGAGGAAAGTACTGCCGAGAACCGGCAGTTGTCAGAGCGAGGATCGGCACCGATCATCAGGGCCACTGATGATCAGTGCCCTGATGATCGGTGCCCAGCAGTGCCACCCACAAGTTCCGCCCACCTGTGCCCAGCAGTGCGCCCACTAGCTCCGCCCACCTGTGCCCAGCAGTGCACCCACCTGTGCCACTCTGCAGTGTCACACACCTGTGCCCAGAAGTGCCAACCTGTGCCCAGCAGTGCCATCCACCTGTGCCCACCAGTGCCACCCACCTGTGCCCACCCACCAGTGCTGCCCACCAGTGCCACCCACCAGTGCAGCCCAGCAGTGCTGCCAGTCAGTGCCACCAGTCAGTGCCCAGCGGTTGTGCCAGTCAGTGCTGCCAGTCAGTGCCCAGCCGTGATGCCAGTCAGTGCCATCTATCAGTACCCATCATCAGTGTCACCTATCAGTGCTGCCTATCAGTGCTGCATATTAGTGCCGCCTATCCGTGACACCTCATTAGTGCTGCCTATCAGTGCCGCCTATCCGTGCCACCTCATTAGTACTGCCTATCAGTGCCCTTTAGTGCTGCCTATCAGTGCCCATCAGTGCCGCCTATCAGTGCCCATCAGTGCTGCCTCATCAACGCACATCAGTGAAGGAGAAAAAATACCTGTTTGAAAAATTTTATAATAGAAACAAAGAAACTTTTTTTTTTTTTTCAAATTTTTTGCACTTTTTTAATTTATAGCGCAAAAAGTAAAGTGCCCAGTGGCGATTAAATACCACCAAAAGAAAGCTCTATTTGTGAGAAAAAAATTATCAAAATTTCATAGATTCTCCTAGATTGTAAGCTCGAAAGAGCAGGGCCCTCGATCCCCTCATGTTTTGCATTGTATTGGTATTGTTCTGTCACATGTTCTGTCCCCCTTTGTAATGTACAGCGCTGAGCGAACTATTGGCGCTTTATAAATACTGTATAATAATAATAATAATAAAATATGGGTACAATGTTGCATGACCGCGCAATTGTCAAAGTGCGGCAGCGCTGAAAGCTGAAAATTGGCCTGGTAAGGAAGGGGGTATAAGTGCCTGGTAGGCAAATGGTTAATATTCGGTATATATTTGGATAGATAATTTCATGCTGAGCCAAACAAGGTCTTACATGACTATATTAGCACATAGAAAAGGGAAGAAAGCAGTCTCTTTCCTCCTGGGTGACAAAGCTATGCTGTGTTTGGTATCCCTGGGTTTGAATATAATTCTGAATAATAATCTGCCAGTTGCTAGAATACCACCTGCATATATTGGAGGTTATTAATATTAGTATGAAATTGTAGTTGGGACTTGGTCATAAACTTGGTGGCCTCCCAGAACCCATCCCCTAAACTGGGTAAATGGTCAGTTGTTCTCAGGCGACACCCCTTTAATATGATAGAAAAGGCTGACAGGCTAGGTGAAGGGAACTCTTGTTTAACATCAAGAAACATCTAACGGACTTGAGAGAAAGGAAATATTTCTGCTCGGACAATTGGACTCTGCTAAACCAGGACTTTGAAAGTATTCTGCCTTCTTAACTCCTTTCTTGTATTTCTCTGTTGCTTTATTGTTCTCTTTATGTCTTTGTAACATCTTTTTCTGTAAATATTTGAATTGCACCATTTTGACCTTTTTTAGTAATAAACCCTATTTTGAAAAGTGTGGAAACTTTCTCTAAAGCTTTTAATGCAAACTAAACAATCCCTGTCTCTTGAAGAGTGCTACTGTATATAATAATCCTCTGAATACATCTGTCTGTGGTGACAGTGTGTGTTGCAGACGCTTATGCTAATATCATAGTGTTATCACTAGGATTCCTGAGTTTCCTCCTTCTCTGTAAAAAGGTGTTGGTGGCAGTGTGAAGGGTTAATTGCATAATTAACCTAACCCAGTAACAATCGCACAGAGGCTGCTGGCACATAGATTGTGGTCCCACAAGCTGGAAAATATTTGTGTAGGGTGCAGATGAGAGTGGCATTGCTACGCAAGTGACAGCGCGGTGTGAGATTGGCTGGTCCTTTGTCAAGAGTTGGTGAGAAGGGCAGGGGGCGAGCACTGAGTTCCGTCACAGTAGTGTGTTTCTGCTAATCTGAAAACACACTGCAAAATGAATAGGTTTGCACCCAGGGCTAGTGTCATGGAGTTCCCGTGCCTTCCCCACCCCCCTTTGCAAGCTGTCCCTCTGCCATAGCGCTCCACCCCTCCCTCCCCCATTGCAGATTCCTCCTTCCTGCTAAGTGAAAGGGCTGTGCAGGACAGGAGGAAATGCCCCCTGTGGTGCGATTAGCACCTCTCCTGGCAAAGCAGCTGTAGACAAAGGCTGCACTCCCCCCCCCCCCCCGTGTGGCCAGCGTGAGGGGGCGTGCCTCATTGCCCCCAACGCGGTGCTGGGCCGGCGGTTGCCGGGGCAACCCAGAAGCGTCCTGCACGGCTTTTGAAAGGCTGGCGAGAGACCAGGCCGGTCTCTCTGTCCCTGTGCACGCTGCTGGACTGATCTCCCTGGAAGCCGCTGGGAGGTCCAGGTGGGGACCGGGCCTCCGCAGCCATCCCCGCTGATCGCTCTGCATGAGACTCTCCCAAAGGTCAGAACCATCCCAGACCCTGCCGAGCCCCTGTAAGCCTGCTATGCCCCTACCTGCCGAAGCCCGCTGTGCCCCTGTCTGCTGATCGGTGGGCCCCTGGAAAGCCGCCCTGTCTGCTGATCGCTGGGGGCCCCGAAAAGCCGTCCTGTCTGCTCCCAAGTCCCGTTGAGTCCCCGTGAGCCCGATGTCCTTAGAAAGCTGGGTGGGAGCTGTGCTGAGGCCAGACTCCACAGCTAAAGTCCCGTTGAGTCCCAGTGAGCCTGATGTCATCCCTAGCATGCTGTGTTGAGGCCAGACTCCCGTGTCCTGAGGACAGACCACCCGTGTCCTGAACTGTCCCTGTTGTGTGCACAGATCACCCGTGTCCTGAACTGTCCCTGTTGTGTGCACAGACCACCCATGTCCTGAACTGTCCCTGTTGTGTGCACAGACCACCCATGTGCTGAACTGTCCCTGTTGTGTGCACAGACCACCCGTGTGCTGAACTGTCCCTGTTGTGTGTACATATCACCCGTGTCCTGAACTGTCCCTGTTGTGTGTACATACCACCCGTGTCCTGAACTGTCCCTGTTGTGCGCACAAACCACCCGTGTCCTGAACTGTCTCTATTGTGCGCACAACCCACCCGTGTCCTGAGCTGTCTGTATTGTGTGCTCAGACCACCTGTGCCCTGAATCGTCCCTAGCACGCTGTGTTGAGGCCAGATTCCACAGCCCAAGTCCCGTTGAGCCCGATGTCCCTAGAAAGCTGGGTGGGAGCTGAGCTGAGGCCAGACTTCACAGCTAAAGTCCCGTTGAGTCCCCGTGAGCCTGATGTCATCCCTAGCATGCTGTGTTGAGGCCAGACTCCACAGCCCAAGTCCCGTTGAGTCCCCGTGAGCCTGATGTCCCTAGGAAGCTGGGTGGGAGCTGTGCTGAGGCCAGACTCCACAGCTAAAGTCCCGTTGAGTCCCCATGAGCCTCATGTCATCCCTAGCACGCTGTGTCGAGGCCAGACTCCACAGCCACGGTCCCATTTGAGTCCCTGTGAGCCCGCTAACCGTGGTGTCCCCCTACAAGCCGCATGTAGCGGAGTGCCTTGAACTGTCCTGATTCAGTATCTTTCATAGTTCAATAAAGCTTTGTGTGTTCCCCATATTCTTTGCGTGTTCTGTCCTGCCTACGCTTCCGTCACAGCTAGGTTCACACCTTTGCTTGTTGCTATTGATGCATTTTTCTGTTGCATTTTTGCATACGTGTTTTTGATGTGTTTTGTGAGGGGGGATTGCCAATAGGAAAGTATTGGCTTTGATGCCACTTTGGATGGGTGTGACTTTGGTGCAACTTTGGATGAGTGTGACTTTGAATGAGTGTGATTTAGATGTGACTTTGATGCTACTTAAGTAACATAGAGTGTAAAGTTGCATCAAAGTCGTACTACATTAACAGAACTATCATACTTTCCTATTATCCAAAAGAACCCCACTACATGCATTTCTTCTGTGTGTTCATTGAAGTCCATTGAACCAATAATGCACTGTTTTGCGTTTAACCACTTTCCCGCCACCCTATAGCAGAAACACTGCTACAGGGCAGCAGGGCTGCGCATAATCGCATATATCTATACGTGATTTTGCATTACCGAGTAGGGGGGGTGAGCGTCCTACCTGCAATGCCAATTGCGGCCTCAGCTGTCAATCACTGGGTCCCGGCCAGTGATTTCCCGCTGGCACCCGGCGATCGCTTAGTATCACTGACGGGGGAGAGACTTGTGTGTAAACAACACAGATCTCTCCTGTCAGCTCCTACACACTACTTTGTTTGGCTCTGCATAGCAGAATGGGCTCTCATGCCCGTGCAAACCCTGGCCCACACGGCCGCATATATGTGAACTGGGGATGAGGCCTGGTTCACACCATAGAAACGCAGTCCAGATGCGTTTCCACATGCACATTTTTGACGCACTCCAGTGCGTTTTTGATGCATTTCGGTACTTTTTGATGCTTTCCGGTTCATATTTTCCACTCTTTTTCTTCAATTCAAATAGTGACATGTGCATGTTTTTTATGCCAGTGTACATTCCAGTACAGTTCTGTGCAGGAAAAACGCAGCCTGTTCTACTTTTTTATCTGCAATCGGAACGCACTGGAACTATAAGCACTGATGTGAACTGTGACATTGACAACCATAGAACCTACATTCTGTGCCTTTTGGATGCAGAAAAAAGCCACACTACAATGCATATAGTGTGAACTGGCCCTGTCCCTTTCCAAAAACGCAGCAGCTGAAAAATGCATATATGTGAACGTGTCCCATAGGAAACCATGTTAAAAGCCTAACTCTAACCCCTATGAGATCGCTCTGTTATGCAGGCCATACACGGGTTGAATTCGGAATGAATTTTCTTTAGAAAACTGTAAATTTTGTGCGTTTTGTAATCCGATGGTGCCACCATTGATTCCGAAGTTCGACCAAGCAAATCTTTAATTTCACCTTGTGTTGCTTCAGTAGAGAATTTTTCTGGCCTAGAATTTTCCAGGTCACAGCTCAGGCTCATTTCTTTTTCGATTACATTTCTTACACGATTCTCCCATCATTGATTAGATATTCGTTTGGTTTTCAAACCGTTTCCAACAGGCCTAATCACTCAAATTGGATGATCGCACAAAAATTGGCTTTGCTGTGGCCCACGAATAGTGTAAACTTTTTATGAAAATTATTTGTAAAAATTTTCGAAAGAAAACTCTTTCGGAATTCGACACGTGTATGGCCGGCTTTTCGTGCGTATTGTTTGATGTGTGTTCGGAGATCAGCTGTATTAACCCTTGTCAGTACCAGTCTGCAAAGGAGAGCACAGGACGCAGCACTACACATTCCTGGAAATCTTTACTACACCACGCCCCGCCCGGCCTTCTTTTGTGTGTACCTCATGCTGAAAGGCGGAGTCTAGTGGCGTCACAGGGGACGTATTAGAGCTGTGCATGCCGGGAGCGGGGTGTTGTTGTCGCAGAAGGGTGAAGCGGAGCTCCGCCATTTTGTTCGTAGAATAGGGTGAGGGGAAGAAAGAGAGGAGTGCCGGGTCGCCAGGTTAGGACCGAGCAGCACGCTGGCAAGGCGCGGGAAGTGTGGATCGGGTAGGTGAGCTTCCTCCGCCCTCTCTGGTCTCGGGACTGGTCGCCCCCCTCGGGATTCGCTTCGCCACGGCAGGAGAGCGGGGCGCCCGGCGGGGCGGGGGGGACACTCTGACATCCGCCTGCGGCCAGGACGACAGAGGGCCCCAGCGCCGGTATAGGCGGCGGAGCAGGAAAAGGAGTCGGAGGATGGAGCCGGAGAGAGGAGAGCAGAGCAAAGGTGAGCGGACACGTGTAGACCGCAGAGAGATGAATGAATGCGGAGTTCAGCCAGGCCTTTGTGTGAGGGGGGCCGGGCACTGCCTTCTATAGGATCTCTAATATATATATATATACTCATCTTGTATAGGATCTCTATTATATATGACTCCTATGGGATCCCCTACACCTCTATTATATATGACTCCTATGGGATCCCCTACACCTCTATTATATATGCCTCCTATGGGATCCCCCACACCTTTATTATATATGCCTCCTCTGGGATCCCCTACACCTCTATTATATATGCCTCCTATGGGATCCCCTACACCTCTATTATATATGCCTCCTCTGGGATCCCCTACACCTCTATTATATATGCCTCCTCTGGGATCCCCTACACCTCTATTATATATGCCTCCTCTGGGATCCCCTACACCTCTATTATATATGCCTCACCTGGGATCCCCCACACCTCTATTATATATGCCTCCTCTGGGATCCCCCACACCTCTATTATATATGCCTCACCTGGGATCCCCCACACCTCTATTATATATGCCTCACCTGGGATCCCCCACACACCTCTATTATATATGCCTCCTCTGGGATCCCCTACACCTCTATTATATATGCCTCCTCTGGGATCCCCTACTCCTTTATTATATATGCCTCCTATGGGATCCCCTACGCCTCTATTATCTATGCCTTCCAATGGGATCCCCTACGCCTCCTCTATTATATATGCCTCCTATGGGATCCCCTACGCCTCTATTATATATGCCTCCTATGGGATCCCCTACGCCTCTATTATATATGCCTCCTATGGGATCCCCTACACCTCTATTATATATGCCTCCTATGGGATCCCCTACACCTCTATTATATATGCCTCCTATGGGATCCCCTACACCTCTATTCTATATGCCTCCTATGGGATCCCCTACACCTCTATTCTATATGCCTCCTATGGGATCCCCTACGCCTTTATTATATATGCCTCATCTGGGATCCCCTACGCCTTTATTATATATGCCTCCTACGGGGATCCCCTACGCCTCTATTATATATGCCTCCTACGGGGATCCCCTACGCCTCTATTATATATGCCTCCTACGGGGATCCCCTACGCCTCTATTATATATGCCTCATCTGGGATCCCCTACGCCTTTATTATATATGCCCCCTACGGGGATCCCCTACGCCTCTATTATATATGCCTCCTCTGGGATCCCCTACACCTCTATTATATATGCCTCCTATGGGATCCCCTACGCCTTTATTATATATGCCTCATCTGGGATCCCCTACGCCTTTATTATATATGCCTCATCTGGGATCCCCTACGCCTTTATTATATATGCCTCCTACGGGGATCCCCTACGCCTCTATTATATATGCCTCCTACGGGGATCCCCTACACCTCTATTATATATGCCTCCTGGGGATCCCCTACGCCTCTATTATATATGCCTCCTATGGGATCCCCTACGCCTCTATTATATATGCCTCCTCTGGGATCCCCTACACCTCTATTATATATGCCTCCTCTGGGATCCCCTACACCTCTATTATATATGCCTCCTCTGGGATCCCCTACACCTCTATTATATATGCCTCCTCTGGGATCCCCTACACCTCTATTATATATGCCTCCTCTGGGATCCCCTACACCTTTATTATATATGCCTCCTATGGGATCCCCTACGCCTCTATTATATATGCCTCCTATGGGATCCCCTACGCCTCTATTATATATGCCTCCTATGGGATCCCCTACGCCTCTATTATATATGCCTCCTATGGGATCCCCTACACCTCTATTATATATGCCTCCTATGGGATCCCCTACGCCTCTATTATATATGCCTCCTATGGGATCCCCTACGCCTCTATTATATATGCCTCCTATGGGATCCCCTACGCCTCTATTATATATGCCTCCTATGGGATCCCCTACGCCTCTATTATATATGCCTCCTATGGGATCCCCTACGCCTTTATTATATATGCCTCATCTGGGATCCCCTACGCCTTTATTATATATGCCTCCTACGGGGATCCCCTACGCCTCTATTATATATGCCTCATCTGGGATCCCCTACGCCTTTATTATATATGCCCCCTACGGGGATCCCCTACGCCTCTATTATATATGACTCCTACGGGGATCCCCTACGCCTTTATTATATATGCCCCCTACGCCTTTATTAAACATGCCTCCTACGGGGAACCCCTACGCCTTTATTATATATGCCTCTTACGGGGATCCCCTACGCCTCTATCGTATATATGCCTCTATCGTATATATGCCTCCTACGGGGATCCCCTACGCCTCTATTATAAATGCCTCCTACGAGATCCCCTGCGCCTCTATTATACAATGCTCAAAAAATATTAATGGAACACTTTGATAACACATCAGATTTCAATAGGAAAAATATCATGCTGGTTATCTGGACTGGGTAATGTGTTAGGAATGTAAGGATGGCCCATTGTGTGATGGAAATTAAAATTATCAACCTACAGAGGACTGAATTCAAAAACACCCGAAAATCAAAGTGAAAAAGATGTAGCAGGCTAGTCCATTTTTCTGAAATTTCATTGTAGCAACTCGGAATGGAACTCAGTCATTTGTATGCCCCCCACGTGCTTGTATGTATGTCTGACAACATTGGGGCATGCTCCTAATGAGACGACGGATGGTGTCCTGCATACTCTCACCACATGAGGCCAGGCATGGTCATGCACCAGGAGGAACCCAGGACCCACTGCACCAGTGTAGGGTCTGACAGTGGGTCCAAGGATTTCATCCCGATAGCTAATGGCAGTCAGGGTGCCATTGTCTAGCCTGTAGAGGTCTGTGATTCTCTCCATGGATATCCCTCCCCAGACCATCACTGACCCACCACCAAAACAGCCATGTTGAACAATGTTACAGGCAGCATTACATTTTCCATGGCTTCTCCAGACCCTTTCACGTCTGTCACATGTGCTCAGGGTGAACCTGCTCTCATCTGTGAAAAGCACAGGGCGCCAGTGGTGGATCTGCCAATTCTGGTTTTCAGTGGCAAATGTCAATCGAGCACTATGGTGCCAGGCAGTGATCACAGGGCCCACTAGAGGATGTCAGGCCCTCAGGCCACCCTCATGAAGCCTGTTTCTGATTGTTTGGTCAGAGACTTTCACACCAATGGCCTGCTGGAGGTAATTTTGTAGGTCTCTGGCAGAGCTCATCCTGTTCCTGTTTGCACAAAGAAGCAGATACCGATTCTGCTAATGGGTTGAGGACCTTCTACAGCCCTGTCCAGCTCTCCTAGAGTAACTTAAATAGTAATAAAGTGCAGCACTAGAGAAATAGGTGAGATTATAGTCCAAGAAAGGTTCAGTATAAAGCAATATTGTAAATCGTGCCAATAAGCGTATCCTTATCTTGTGATAATCCGTGTGATAAAGTTATGTGCTTACCAGAAGCTCATAGATAATGTGCATTGATAACTCAAATTAGTGAGGTATGTGTCTGGGACATCCGTCTCCAATGGGCAGCTCTGCAGTGGTTGGTGTCTGCTTCAGAGGTCTCCTTTATGGGTCAGCAGGGAAGAGCTTCCCAGATTCTGCATACTTAAGACTCCGTGTACGGAGTCATAGAAAGTGCTCATAGCGTAATATTGCCAAGAAGTTTGAATTTATTCAAAAAGCAAGTTTCACAGTAAAATTGTAAAAAGGTATAAACAGGTACACTGACCAGTAATATGGGTAACCACCGGGCCTGTATAAGGCTCCGGTGGTTTAAAAAACACCCGTGGTCACCCATATTACTGGTCAGTGTACCTGTTTATACCTTTTTACAATTTTACTGTGAAACTTGCTTTTTGAATAAATTCAAACTTCTTGGCAATATTACGCTATGAGCACTTTCTATGACTCCGTACACGGAGTCTTAAGTATGCAGAATCTGGGAAGCTCTTCCCTGCTGACCCATAAAGGAGACCTCTGAAGCAGACACCAACCACTGCAGAGCTGCCCTATTGGAGACGGATGTCCCAGACACATACCTCACTAATTTGAGTTATCAATGCGCATTATCTATGAGCTTCTGGTAAGCACATAACTTTATCACACGGATCATCACAAGATAAGGATACGCTTATTGGCACGATTTACAATATTGCTTTATACTGAACCTTTCTTGGACTATAATCTCACCTATTTCTCTAGCGCTGCACTTTATTACTATTTATGCTATATTTAAGGTTTTATGTGGTTACTTGAGTCCAATCAGCTGCTATTGGAGAGCGCTCACTATTGTTACATTTTACTCTCCTAGAGTAACTGTCTCCTGGAATCTCCTCCATGCTCTTGAGTCTGTGCTGGGAGACACAGCAAACCTTCTGGCAATGACACGTATTGATGAGCCATCCTGGAGGAGTTGGACTGCCTGTGCAACCTCTGTAGGGTGCAGGTATCACCTCATGCTACCAGTAGTGACACTGACCCTAGCCAAATGCAAAACTAGTGAGAAACAAAAGATGAGTAGGGAAAAAAATTACAGTGGCTGCCACCTGTAAAACAATTTTTTTTGTTTTGGGTGTCGTCTCATTGTTACCCATCTAGTGCACCTGTTGTTAATTTCATGAACACCAAAGCAGCTGAAACTGATTAACAACCCCCTCTGCTACTTAACTGACCAGATCAATATCCCAGGAGTTTAATTGGAGCTATACTCTGATTAAAAAGTGTTCCTTTAATTTTTTTGATCAGTGTATATGCCTCATATATGATCACCTATATCTCTTTCATATGCACTGTATTGCTGGCTAACATGTTTCCTCACCTGTGTCTGTCCTAATTACCTATCATTATTTCATGTGCTCCAAGGTAGATTGTAGGTATCTGCATCCTCTACCTACTGCATGGATGTAAATATTTTTCTTACATGGTGGTGGTGTGGGGGAATGTTTTTAGGCCTCATGCACCCAGGACATTTTGCTCTCTTAGATGTCTTTCCTTCTGGCAGCA